AATATCAATAACCTGTTCCATCAAGTCTTACAAGAAACACAGATCAGACTTCTTTCTTACAGTGTCTCACAAAAGAAAGGCATGTGGACCAAAATATATATGTACACCTCTACCCCGATATAATGCTGTCCTCAGGAGCCAAAAAATCTTACCGCATTATAGGTGAAATCGCGTTATATCAAACTTGCTTTGATCCGCCGGAGTGTGCAGCCCAGCCCCCCCAGAGCACTGCTTTACTGCATTATATCCAAATTCGTGTTATATCAGGTCGCATTATATCGGGGTAGAGATGTAACTTAAAACTGAATGCTATCTATAAAAGCATTTTTTCCAGATTCCTACATCACTTGGACCCTTCTACATTTCACACATTATACACTATTAAAGAATTTCATGCAATCCTTTGAAATAACTGGAATTTATAAGAAAGTTATTAGTCATTTTTTGTCCTTAACATTTTGGCTTATGTTATAGAAGTTAATGGATTTGTCAAAATATAAGGTCTAAAATTTAATCTGCTGTACAAAATGTTACTTATCCAAGGCAATAAGGGAAGTGCCAGCTGAAGTTTTGGGAGGCAGTGGACCAGGAAATAGTCTCCCCCTTGTTTGCGGGGCCAAAGGAAGATCAGGGCACTCAGCAATTCTCAGGAGGTGCTCATCTCCTTGCAGGATGAGTCCCTAAATACAAGAGGATTACTGGAGAATGGCTTATGGAATCTATAGCGTAGTAAGGCTACCAGAAGAAATGCATTTGTCTGTCCATAACTGGTTCCTTTTGTCAACATTAGCACTTAAAACACTCAAGACGTGTCAGTTGAAACCACCATATGAGCTGATGATCCTGATGCAAGAAAAAACAGAATCAAACTAAAGAGCAAAATACATAAAATATATCCATATTGCACTAAGGCTAAGACCACAGAACATTACTAAGGATAAAGTCTACAGAAGATAGCTAGGAAAATTGAAAAGAAGATGAAATTGCCTATATCGTTTTGCTAAGATCACAGAGTAGTTCAAGGAACATTTTATGTCAGAATTAGGGCCCAAAGCTGGGGCATTACTCAACTAAGGTAGTCATTGATAAGACTGACCAACATGAACTGGGAAATATAGTTTGCTGAAAACCAAAAGCTCCTTCAAGTGAAATGGTGTCTTCCATCTTGTGCTATATTGGTAGTCCATTTGCATGTAGACAATCAATGAGAGGGAAAGGTTGTGAAGATAACAACATGGATGAAAAAGATGTATTACTGTAGGACAGGGTACCATTGAGGATGCTTGGTAGGGGAAGTGTATTCTAGAGAGGAATTCATTACACACAGGTCATACTCTTGTTGACGTCATATTCACAGGCCTGCACCTGATGAATACTTTTGTTTTGCAAACAGAATTTTTCATATACATTTCTTATATCAGGTATTGTTTTTACTATGTTTAAAATTGTATGTAAGAGGTTCAATCACATTATGAAAATGTATGAATTTGTATATTATATTTCCCCTCTCCTGATTAGACTGTTGTAGTAGTGCAGAAAATCATATTCCTTTTCAGGAGCTATTCTAACAATTTTTGTTTAGTACAATGTTCAAACACAGTTCATTAAGTCCTAGAGGCATTACAGTAGCTGAATTAAATGGACATGTTGATCTCATGTGACTTACTTTTTGTGATTGGAGTTTCATGTTTTATATAGTATAGCGCAAATTCTACTATCCTTAGTCAAAACTCAATTTTCTTTAATAAGAGATTTACCTGAGAGGCCTGGAAGATCTGGCCTTAACTTTAAATAAATAATACCAACAACAAAGTATACATATAAATGAAACATAACTCAGGAAAGCTGTATTCAAGGTATCCTTTACAACATGCTCTAGTATACAGTCCACACACTGTGTAGATACAAAACTCACCAGGGTGTTGGTCAATAAAGAAATTAACAATAAGGGAACATGAAGTTCAGCCCAGTAGTACAGACAAAGGTAAACAAGAGTAAATGCAGTATACCTTCTTCTCATCTGGGACTATGGAGTTTAGTTTAGGTTACTTTACCCATTTTTTTTTTTTAACCACTATACCACTAGTTCAGCCTGTGTGTTCTCTGCAAACTTGGCTGCCATTAGAGTTCATACATTGGAGTTACTCATCCCCAAAATCTGCCTGGGAGGCAACTTCCACTTTCTGTGATATCCACAGTGAGTGCAATCCACAGCAAGACTCACTAGATGTCTCCCAAAAGGAGCAACATCACCTGCTAATATAGTCTGAAATGCCATGTAATGTAAGGAGATAGAAGTCAGGAGCATGCATCCGAAGAAGTGGGTTGTAGCCCACGAAAGCTTATGCTCTAATAAATTTGTTAGTCTCTAAGGTGCCACAAGTACTCCTGTTCTTTTTGCGGATACAGACTAACACGGCTGCTACTCTGAAAGGAGCATGAAGGACATGGACCAGAGAAGAAAATCAAAACTGAAATTAGTTTTAGGAATTTAGTGATTATATTTCATGTTACAAAGTTTGCCCAGTGTTAGACCATCTACATATTTACCATGTGCTAGAGATGTATTATTACAGTTTAAGACTGGATTTGCAAGGAGTTTGGGAAGTTTCAATCAAATTTGTTGAGGAAGTGTAAGTTATAGTCATGCCTTTAGTATTTAAGAGCAAGTTTGATTGGGTGGTTATCCTCCGTATTATACATTTCAGGAGTAATATATTCTGAAAAGAAAAGACTTTGAGCTTAGGAAAGCATCTGTTACTCAGCCTTGTCCAGTTAATTAATAGGTGTCCAAAGTTTCAGAAGTGAGAATTTTGTTTTGTATTTTTTTTAAAGTTTGTTTGAAGCAGTAAAATAAATTAAAATATATAGAAATATAGCTAACCCTATAAATATTATTTACCCACTTACAAACAAATTGAAATATATATAAATGTACATAAACAAACACATATACACACCAGATATGCCAAACCTGCAGAAAAAAACACAGAAATGAGGCTTATTTTTGCCTTAATTAGCACATAAATTGCTTGTTGGCTAGTTTTTGGCTTGTAGCGTATTGGGGTTCTTAGGGATTGACTTGATTTGGCCTTGTTTTGAAATGGGATTTGCTTGATTTTTGGCTTATTGTAAAAGTCAGGGTGCTTATTTACTGTGTGAAAGTTCGCAACTGTGATATACACACACACACGTGTTGGTGTGCATTTCTGTGTCAGTTTAATATTTAAGCATGTCCCCCACCCTGACTCCCCCTGCCCTGCAATAAAAGGAAGCAACTCTCCACACTTTCTAAAGCTGCTGTGTATTTTTGCCTTCTTTGGTCGCTGAATTCTCACACATCATGGTAACCTAAGACTTTTTATTCCTTAATTTAAGATATCTAAATATTACATTTATTCCAATATATGCTGTAGCCTTCATCTTTCCAATGATAATGTGAAAGTGTTTAAGATGGTGGTAGCTATCTTGCCAATTTTATGGGATATAAAACTGAATTAACTATCTCAGACTACATTTCAAAGGCTATTCATTGTGCATGTGGGAAGCCCAGCACAAGTATTCATTATTACAAAACTTTTAAAGAGCTTCCTGACTACATAACATTAATTGTCAGAGAATTTTATCTTTCCTTGGAGCTTTGTGATCTCAACTCTTCCTGATAAATCTTTTCCTTTAAACAGCTTAACATATTTTCCATTGGGTGTACCTATAGTTGCTAGGCCATTATGTTCTACAGTGGCTCTTAATAATGTCTGAGTCCAGATTACCATACCTTTACTGGCCCTGAGCCAATTTGCAATCAAAAGTAGATTTAGTCATGCAGTTTTGGTTTGAAAAGTCTCTTAAATCTTTTTTTTTTTTTTTTTTTGGATATTTATTTTTGGTATACGCTGAAGTCTTACACTACAACTCCTGTTTCAGAATTCTAAACATATATGCTGGGTGTCAATACATTTCCTATTCGTTATTTGATTGTGACCTTGTATGCACTTGCAGTTACATGCAGCTACACACCAAGGTGAAGGGCAGGCTGTGCCCACACTCACTGTGGTGTATATTACATGCAGCAGTGAAAGGCTCTGGCACGTGGAGGCAGCAGGGGTGAGGGAAGGCTCTGGCAGGGGGTGGCAGTGGGACACTACACTGATAAAAATAAGCACTGCTTGGGTGTGTAGAAAGCTATGTAGGGTATATACATTAGAGGCTCAAGTGGGTAGGGCACCCTACTCTACACACCTTAGCAGTGCCTCATCATCTACACTGCCATTTATATCCATGCTAGCTAAGTGTGCAGTGTCTGTACTCTACATGACGCCATAAGTGAAGAGTTACACTAAAAAATTCTTACTACATGAACATTCTGCATAACTTGCGATGTGCGAGCATTTGGTTTTTGATATTTAGTAGCCACACTTAACTTACTTCGGGAAAAGGCAGGATTTACTGTACAACACCAACAATAATACTATCAAACTTTGAACTATTGTTTTTAATATCAAAAGTGATTTATAAATTTTCTGTATGTGTGTGAGAGAGAGAGCATTTGGGGTGGGGGGCATGTACATGCTGGATTAAATATATAATTCCCTCCCTATCATGGGAGCAACGCAATTAACTTGGTAAATCCATACCATATTATCATGTAATTACATTCCAAAATGGATGGAGCAGAACCCACAGTAGAGTTCTTATCTTTTCCCTATTATTATTGTTAATAGTAGTATTATATGTAAAGGGATCATGGTTGGCTTCTGTGCTGGAACTGTATCACATCCTCACACACTATCCCACATGAGGCTTCTGTGCTGGAACTGTATCACATCCTCACACACTATCCCACATAAAAGGGTGAAAAATAAAACCCCATAAAACATCACTTTTTGTGTCCCCTCTCCACCTGCAATTTGAAAAGTGATTGATTTTCATTAATATGTCACTTCCATCACTAAAAATCAATGTGGCTTTTCAAATCAAATACATATTGAACTTTTACATACTCTGAGGAAACCTCGGTGGATTGTCGTTGACATCAGTGAGTGTGATATTTACAGTTGTTGACCCTGATAGCCCTCCGACCTGCCCAGCCATATCTTTGGCTTGAATGACAACGGAATAATGCTCTCTGGCTTCCCTGTCCATGTTATGCAAGGCGGTCCTGATGACTCCTGTGATGCAAAGAAAAACAAAAGAAACACTAGTGTTAGCATTTCTGAACAATGATCCAGGGTAGACATCTACAGAGCCTGTGTTGTCAACAGAGGTGGGACACAGAACTTCTACTATTACAAATCCCCTTTATAGCCAAAATAAACTATTTTAAATTGAATTTCTGATTTCTAACCAACAGATTGGAAGTCTCTTGTGTGAAGACAACCAAAGAAAATGGGTTATATAATGCATTGTGGAGAAATGTTGTTGAGAATTGCATTGTTTTCTAAAATATCTAATACAATTGTGGCAGCATTTGCTAGACAGACAGATTGCTTGAGGATATGTAGAAATTAAAAACACCCCATATTACAAGAAAATGTAATAATATATCAATAAATAATTACTCCAATTCATGTAATGTAGAAAGACCTCAAGGTACATTGCCAAAAAGACAATGTTTTATATGATAATTGTTTAAGTAGCTGTTTAATTGAAATATTAATGAATATGCATTCATGCCCCACAAGAGATGTCTCAAATTCCACTATCTGGTAGCCAAACAAAAAATAATCTTTTGTTTTTCCACATAAAGTTTGGCACTATTCTGAAAAGTGACTTTGAAATTGGCACCCTCTTATTTAAGATGCCTTGTTCTGCTCCCTGTATCCATTCACAGTTATAAACAGTTGACCTTAGTGAGAAAAATGCATTTTTCCTGCTTTTTGACTCCTATTTGGCCCAGCAGAGCCGATAGAACTAGAAGTGAGTGAACAAAAGATTCTATTTAATTTTACACATCAGCAGCAGAAATGTTTACTAATTTCCAATATCTTCAAGCACACTGATGACAATAGGGTTGTGCAGGTATCACTTAAGGCATGACCAATATTACTTTTGTCACTGGTGATACATTAAATAGAATAACCCAGCTATATCCTCTAAGCCCAGACTGAGTTTACAAGGTTGGCAGCCAGGAACCCCCCTGCTCCCCCAACACACTATTATTTGTCAGTGGGGAGCATTTCACACATAAATGGAGCTGCAGGAGTCCCTTCCCAGAGCAGAGTCCCACTTTAATATTTAGAATTACTAAAGGATTTGTAAGGGCATTTTGAAACATATTGTTAAATAGAGAAAGAAAACAAAAGCTACCACTGTCAAAGCTTCCTTTAAAAAATGTGTGAAAGACTAAACTTGTTAAAATAAAACTGTCCTGACATGATAACTGTTGCTTCTATGCAAATTTAAATCATTTGATAGCCATGCAGAAGAACAGACAGAGGTATAACAATAAATGCATCAATGGGTGGGGGAACTTGATGGGGCTGGCAGTGAAAGGGGTGGGGAGTCCTAGAGGGAGGGAGACACTCACCATGGGATAATAGTTAGCTCCTCCCCCTGGGAGTCTCTGGCACCCATTGGCCAGCTGCAGGAGAGAGGTGCTGATGGGCCAGGATTTGCCAGCTCCCAGGACGTAACTTGGCATGGAGGCCACATGTAGCCTCTTTTGATTTGTCATTCTTACTATACTAACTAGAAAATAAACTTCGCATGGATAACCTGTCTAGACTCAATGAACCAAACATAACGTAATTTTTAACTATTTGCAAAGCCTCTGACCTGCTGCATGCCAACACATTCAATGTGTGTACACAGGGAAAATTCTTCAGGATAGTCTGAGAGAATATCATAATAATTTAAAAAAAAATTGGTTATGTTTTATATAGTTCATATAAATACAGCTGTAGCTTGTTCTTAAAAAAAACCTGATCTATAGGCTTAATTCTGCACATCTGTACTTAAATGAGCAGACTTTACTCATGCAAGTAACCACACTGAAGATGAGATTACTTGTGTGAGTAAGGGTTACTCATACAAGTAAGTGTTTTCAGGCTTGGGTCCTAGATACACTTAAATTAAAAGTAGGGTTGGCTTAGACATAAAAGTATCACCTGCAATCTACAGCAAGCTTCCAGGTCACAGGTGTTTCAGCCCAATAGGGAATGGCTGAAAAGTCAATATGATCTTAATTGTGCATGCTCCAGTGAGGTGTGAGGTGGAGTATGAGCTACTTTGTGAAGTCTGACAGCTCTGCGCTGAGAATCACTCTGCTTCTCTCCCTAATCATTTCCCTGGCTGGTACACAGCAAAGCGTTCTCCTTCTGCTTTCTGAAACCTCCATCATCCACTTGCTAGTTTCCTAATTCTTTCTAGAAACAAACAAATGAGTTCTGAGAACAATGAGCCAGACCCTCCATTGGAGTAAACTGATATAGCACCCCTGAGATTAATGAAGCTATTTATGGCAATTTATACCAAATGAGGATCATGATCATTATCTATTCCTATTACATTCCCATACATATCACTAGCACATAGCCCAGTGCAGGGAGTTTGTGGTAGCTTTGCAAGATTAGCTCAAACTGGCCCTACTTGAGATAATACAAATTCCACTTTCAAAGTGAAGACTATGTCATTTTCCTTGCCACTAGATTCCATAGAATGGCACACAGCTAAGCAAAACACACAACATATTTCCAGAACGGGGTTAAGCATGGTTATGTAACATTAAAACACATGCAATTTTACTAGTTTGACACTTCATTACCAACTCTAAACTCAGTTAGGTTTTTTAAAAGGTCGGTGAATCTTTTGAGAATATCTAAGTACTGTACCATTTCAACAGAACCTGGAGAAATGTATGTGCAGGGCCGCCCAGAGGTGGGGGCAAGTGGGCAATTTGCCCCAGGCCCTGGGCCCCGCGAGGCCTGGCCCAATGGTGATCCGGGTCTTGGGCAGCATTTCGGCGGCGGGGGGCCCGTCAGTCGCTCCAGGTCTTCAGCGGCATTTCGGCGGCAGGTCTTTCAGTGCTGCTGAAGACGTGGAGTGACTGAAGGGCCCTCCGCCGCCGAAATGCCACCCAAGACCCGGACCGCTGCCAGGTAAGTACAAGCGCCGCAGCTCCCCCACTTTGCCCCAGACCCCCTGAATCCTCTGGGTGGCCCTGTGTATGTGTGACATTCTATACCTTGGGGGAGCATCCTGTAAACCCCATATTCCTCATTTCTATAGACCTCTGATCTTACCTTACAAGGCATGCTTTATATGTATCAGGGGAATGATTATGATCTGCTGAAAGTCATTTCTCTATTCATATATGTGTATCATTAACTCATATGAAGTTATGAGAATTGTGTGGTATGGTTGTCACTAAAACATGCTGTAAGTTGGGGAATCAGCCAGGTATTAGCTCCCCAGAGGCAACGGCAAGGAAAGTAACCAAGTGGGGTATCAATCAATCCATCAACAACCGTTGTCCAGCAAGAGAGCTACAATGCAATGATTCACCCACATGAGGCCACACCAGGGGAATTGCTGAACCTTGCCTGGAGACTCAGCAATGCCCCCCAGACATGCCTGGACTTGTGTTTTCCAAGCACATGGACTGAGGGTATAAAACAGACACAAAGGCTATATGCTGGCGCTTCTCCTGCTCCCACCTACAGTGCAAGCAACTAAGACAACACTCCAACAGAGGAGATTGGCAGAGCTTTCAGGAACAAACCTGTACATTAAGGACTGCAATATCTAACGGGGTGAGAAAAACTGCTTAATCTAGATGTTGCCCAGTCTAATAGGGTTGAGAGTTTAGACTGCATGCATATATTTTATTTCTTTTGGTAACTAACTCTGACTTTTTGCCTATCTCTTAATACCACTTAAAATCTACCTCTCATATTCGATACATTTGTTTGTTTATCTTTACCAGTGAGTTTGTATGAAGTGTGTGGCAAATCTGCTCAGGTTTTGCAAAGGCTGGTGTATGTCCACTTTCCAGTGTTGAAGTGGTGAAGCAATTAATATATTTGCAATGCCCCTCTTGAGCAGTACAAAATGGCAGATTCCTGGGGTACAGTGCTGGGGAGGGGATTGTGCTGGTGCCTTTCTCTGTGCGATTCATGACTGGCTCTGGGAGCAATCATGCAATCTAGCTGGGTGTGGGGCTCCACATGCTGTTGTGCTGAGTGATCACAGCGCCTAAAAGGGCTAGCTGCTTGCCACTAGTAAAGCATTGTGAGAGACAGCTCAGGCTGGAGAGAATTCAGGGAGTACAGCAGTACCACAGTCCCAGGCTGCACCCCAGGGATCACGTCACAGTATGTTTAAACAGGAAACCATGTAAAAATTTGTGGTTTTAACTCAGTACAGCTTTGAGTTTCTAGGTTCATTCTCAGCAGCAACTTAAGGTTCCGGAATTGCACACACCAGAGCCAAAGGAAGTTTGCATGACACCTCTCACTAAAATAGAAACATTTGTCTTTCTTCAGGGTGATCTGTTTACAGATAGTTTTCCCTCAGAGATTCTCAGAACATTTCAAGAATAAATATCTAACCCCAATTTATATGTAATTACTAGAACTTGCCAAAGAAATTTTGATGGAACCACATTCAGTCAGAATATGCAGATCTGTCAAAACTGAAATGTTTTGTGACATCAGATTGATTTTGCCTAATTTCTTTTTTT